CTCAATGTGATCTTTAAAAGTTAAAAATTTAAAGCTCTATTTAATCCAAGATATTTCATTTGACTTGACCAAGAAATTGGAACTCCGTTCATAGCAACTATGTGACTAGTGACTAAATACTACTAGTTTTCAAAAAGGATGCTCTAGGCCCTAGAGTCTAGGCTTATGTGGAAATATTTTAAGTTTTGTTTTGGAAGCGTTGGGAGATATCTTTCTTTTTTGTAAATAAGAAGAGAAAATATCTAAACTTTTCTGTAGTCTGCTACAAATTACACGAAGACTTCTTCCTTTAGCCGAATTAGATTTGTGGCAACCCTGAAGAAAATCAGGGAGGTCCGAAGTGAAAATGTTATACAATATAGGCCCAAGAATGCTACCCTGAGGAACTCCTGCTCTAACCGGTATTCGTTCGGATTTCGAATTTTGATAATTTACCTGCAGGGTTCTGTCATTTAAATAATTTTGAATTCATTTCATAACATAGAGTGAAAAATTATTTTTTTTCAATTTGGCAATGAAACCATCATATTGTCGAATGCTTTTTTATGTCTAGAAGAGCAACTCCAGTTGAGCAGCCTTCAGATTTGTTTGAACGAATTAAATTGGTAACTCTTAAGAGTTGATGAGTAGTTGAATGCCCATGGCGAAATCCAAACTACTCATCTACAAAAATTGAGTTCGTATTGATGTGAAGCATCATTTTATTTTAAATTATCTTTTCAAAAAGTTTACTTATTGAAGAAAGCAAATTTATTGGACGGTAACTAGAAGCTTCAGCTGGATTTTTATCCGGCTTCTAAATTGGAACAACTTTTGCAACAACCCCCCTCCGCCCTATAATGACAACCTGAGAAAAAGATATGGCATTTGAGAAAAACTTCGCTCATGACTGATGATTTTCATCTAAGTCTAAAACTGGCTACTTTCCTAGGGGTTTCCGGAAAGTTACTGGATCCTGCCATTGTACTGGGTTTTGAATTTAAATGTGATTTAATGGTATATGACCATATTCAGAAACAGGCCACTTTTCCGAGGGGACCGCAACATAGCAAGGTGTTTATGTTAGGGTTGTCCTCCAAATCGGAGAACAAAGAGGCGCCTAAACCCCGTATGGTCGTTGTACCCCTTCCTCCCCTACTTCGCTAACATATGAAACAACATTTTGTTCAATATTGAAAGTACCGTCTTCTGATAAGGAAAATACAAATGCCTGTTGCGTTATCATAAAATGCAACCATCACTCTCTTCTCTGCTTCAGAGACCTAATTTAAAACTTATCGAGTTACTGAAAAAAATTAACGTATTTTTTGGCAGTTGTTCTATCCCACAAAAGGCATGGCGTCTTTGTGAACTATACTAGGGTGCTTTTCCACAATATATAACGGCTTGTTTAGGACCCCACATTTGAAATTTCATAATTTATTACATTCCAGGAAAAATACTTGAAGCAACATTGAACCATAACAGAAACAATGAAATACTTGAACATTTTTAGATAAAGTATAATAGTCAAAAATGTATGACATACTTAAATTTTGCGTAGTTCTGCGTCATATTGTGGTCGTTTCTAAGACACAACCCTTTAATTTTTTTTATTCAAATTTTTGGAACTCGGGTCTTATTTTGAATCATTATTTTCAAAACATTTGTTCCTCAGGGTAGAGAATCACTTTTTAATTCATTTTTGAAAATCCCATCTGATAAATTTCATGGCCGGATCGCGTGTTCTTTGATATTTCCTCCTACGGACATTTTTCACAAGGATAAAGAGCTGAAGATCGTCGTCTATTATAATTGAATCGAATTCAACCTCGCATTTTGGTACTGAGGCAGCTCTTGCTCCAACTATAGAAGTAGTCAGAGATTCAAGAGCATAATTAACATCGTATTTAGTTTGCAAAGGAATATTTGGATCAAAGTTATATTTCATAAATGTCCGATATTGCTCCCAATTAGCTCTATAGTAATTGAAAGTAGAGCTGTTATTTCTTGGCATATTTAAAAAGTTACTGGAAGGTGATCAAAACCGAAGTCAGCATGCACAGCTAAAAAAAAGTAGTGTAAATTTCCGTTACTATGATGCACATAAATGGAGCGTCATATATCATACAAGTTTAGATTATAGATCGTGTAAATTTATGAGACATATCATGGAATATTCCATATATTTTATGCAACTGTCCACTTCTGTTTGCAACATTTCTTGCAAGCTGCTAGTTTACGTGAGAAGGAAATTTACATGTATGAATGTTTGCATGCATGGATGTTTACATCGCTAGTAAAAATCAGAATTTTTTGGTGTGTGGGTAACTAATTAGTGAATAGTGTGCAGAATGCAGAACAATCATCAAACAAAATATTTCTATTGAAATTGCTTTGAGCATTATTCCGTGAGCGTTGCTTTGCATTAAAATCACCAATAATAAAGAATTTAGACCTATGACGGGTAAGTTTCTGAAGGTGGTCACCCTTAAGAAAATTCTTTTGCTGGTCTACGTATTGAAATGGCAAAAAGGCAGCTATAAATGTAAGTTGTCTATATTTTGTTTCGACAGGAGCTCCAAAAGTTTAAAAACTTTGTTTTCAAATGATGAAATAATTTTATTAACAATTATGGTAACGCCACAACTGGCGGTCATTTCAATAAATGAAATAATTTACGTCCCTTTTACCCTTATGGTCAGGTTTAAGGAACGTTTCAGTAAAACGGGCAATGTACACGTTATGAACTCTCAAAAAGTTAAATAACTTTTTTTTATCTTGTTCGTTTATTTGTAAGGCTCAATCGCGTTGGCTTTACGGAGCCGATAATTCATTGTTCTTTGTTTGTAGCAAAATTCACAAAATTAGAATTCTATGTCTAGTAGGAGTTGGGCCGAATACTTCAGGCTTACCTGAGGTTAGAGGGGTACATTGTCGAAAGGTAGGAAAAGGGAAGAAGCTTGGAGGTAGGGTTTCGTTGTCTCATCAGAGTGATGTACCCAGTATGCACCGTAGTGTGGTTCTAAATTCGTCAGGAGTTCGACCGGCTATGGTGACCAGTGGGCGACGATGAGACTCGTCGAGACGGGAGACAAAACAAATAAAAACTATTAAAGAGATACATGTTAAATAGCGCGTCTTATGATCTTTAATAGATCCAGCACAGACAAACAGACATAGCACTCATAAGTTGTTCATCGAACAAGCATGTAACGGTCAATTTGTAAGTATCCCAGTTGGTAGTACTGCCACATGTGGTGCGCATAATAAATTCCCTTGCGTTTGACGTTTACACACTACCGCCATCTGTTCAGCGTACTACCCTCCACAGTGTACTCAACAGATGGCAGTAATGTTTTAGCGACGATATTTTATAATGCGAAATATTCAATGTGTTATGTCTGTTTGTCTGTGGATCCAGCATTCCAATTCAAAATATTTAATGATTTCAAATCCATTACAAGTGGCGCCGGTGGTGTAGTGGTAAGCGTGATTACCTCTCACCCCAGCAGGCCTGGGTTCAGTAGTAAGCCGTTGATCCCCGGTTCATGAGTTGATGGGTCTGAATAGGTTCAAACATGGAGTTAGTTTTTAGCACACCAGCAATTATGTCGATTAATGATTTCTGTTAAAAAACCGTTTTAGGAGCAGTAATGCTACCTAAATCAAAATCAATAACATTTCCGTTAGAATTATGATGGCAAGATTTTTTATCTCGATTTCTACCAGCTGCAATAGAAGCATAGGTAGCTCTATTTACTTGCTGAACATTGTAATCAGCAGGTTTAGATGAAGAATTTGAAGCAGAGAAGCTATGAATGTACACACACAGGGTATGAATGTTTAATTTGTTGCCCAGATTGGCTTATTTTGCTGGATCTCAGTGAAAAACATGCCGATACGCAGCTAAAATACATTAATTTTGCCGAGATCTTTAGATGCTGAGCTGGCCATTAGATTTACTATCCTTTTACCGACATTTATGTCGAAAAATACGTTTTAAGTTTATGGTTCATGTAAATTTAACAATGCACGTAAATTTGTCTAAGAAGATTTAAATACAATTTTCCAAGTGTGCGGATAATTTTTGAGATAAAGAGAAAAAAGGGTTTAGCTACCATACCAGAGTGCATTATGTAGTACTACTTAGCATTTATTCCTTAGCTTAAAGCATCCGAAATCTAAAAGATATACTGCTAAAAAAAAAAGATTGCCGCCAGACGCTCTGCTTATAACATTTAAACTAAATGTTTCGCTTTCTGTCATTTACCACATTTATAACTATCTGCAAACTACCCATTCCCCCCTCCCAGTGGACAACATTTCAGAAGCACAAACAAAATAAACAGCCTTTCACAGAACCTGTGCTCCCAAGGAAATTGCACACACGTACCCACGATACCTATATTATTTGAAGGCCTTGATACGGTGCAATTTTACTTTGCAATCTCTTTCTTCCTACGTTTCTTCCCGCTTTCAGGCTTTGCTATGGCTTTTCCAACAGGAGTTTGGGTCCTTTATGTCTCAACGGTAGTGTGTTTTTTTGGGTGGATCGTATAACAGCACTGTTGATAACTGGTTTCCTCTGCCTCTATTCTTCGAGATGTCTAACGATACTCATTACTGAATGCGTTGTTTTTACCAACGGAGAAAAGTGTTACTCAACGACGATGACATTCACCCAAAAAAAAAACACACTCCGCTAGTCACCGTTTTTGGACAGTTCCAAAACATGTGAACTTCATATACATTTAGTTTTGGCTATATCAACGTTGCCCACGGCGACGTTATAGTTTGGTAGTGGAAACCATGCGAGGGTGGGAGTCGTCCTCAAATGATGCTCCATTAATTGATGCGAAAAAATTGGATTCAACAGCTTTACTTAAGTGTGACAAAATGGAAGTGAGAAATTCGTTTCGTCATCAACGGTCGGCAACCATAGCCGTGGGTTGCTTCTAGACCCAGCACTCGACAGAATTCGGATACCGCTGGGCAGTCTTTATCAAACGGTCGACTGATTCGCACGGGCATTCATATCACTGCGGGAGGAAACGTGCGCGTCGAGTTGTGTGATTTTTGAGTTTTCAGAACGATGTTGTTATCAAACGAAGAATAGTGTGCACTTGTGCAAGATATTTACTGAACGAGTTATCAATGCATTTCGAGAGTTGCTATACTGCGTGGGACGTGTCATTTCATTTACGAAAGGATGAGGGTTGCACGGCTGGTTAGACAAATTAAACATTCCGCTTATCGTAAGGTAGGGTGTTTCGATTCGTTATCAACGTGTTCTGTGTAGTGTTTCACGGTTTATGATCGCAACGTCGAAGTGAAGTGTGATAATAGCCACGTACCTACTTGCATTAAGCATGAGCTAGAAAACAATTAAGTCAATTTTGAATCGATTGTGTCTCGAAAAACAAATACAAAACTGTCCACGCTATCGGTTTTATGAAACCAGTTTCGCATCGCGTCCAAATTTTCATGCGAAAATAAACTGTCGCTTGTGGAGCAGCGCATTGCATTTGGCGCTATAAGACGCTTACGCGTCTACATAACGCGGTCGCTGATATTAGCCATCCCGAACCAGCCCATGTGTGAATTTTGTTGTGTCTTTCGGTTGTTGGGTGATACCTTTTGGTGGTCATCTTCGCCGAATTCTTAATTAATTCCAGACTCGGAATTTAATGATCATCTACGAGCGTTGATGTTTTATGGCACCTTACTTCTTGGTAGGCCGGTGGTGAACGCCGGTTGCTGCCTCTGTGATATGATTGAAGCATGGGGTGAATCGAGATGTGTACCAAAATGTACCGACACAACTCCAGGGGCATTGAACTGCTAGTGAGGAAGGGTCATGTGGTGCTTTATCGATTTGTCATTAATTGTATTTAATACTGGTAATGATCGGAACTTTTGTATTACTATATGGAATCAGATTACTTAGGGTGATTCGTGAAATCATAAGCATTCTCAATGCACTTTCAGTAACATTCTATTATGTTTTTCTTATAAAACTGTGGCTCTGATACGAAAAAAAAAAACATACATCGCTGAATTTTGGATATGTTGTGTAAAAAAATCTAAATTTGGTTCCGAGACCATGAAAATCATGAAAATCGATTAAAATCAATGTTTTTCAATGAAAACCCTTGATTAAGGTCCATATTCATATTTTTCCTAAAAACTAGATTTAATAGTCTATCATTTGACCTTCTGATCCAAATACTAAGTCCAGTGTAATTGTAAATGTTCAGTGCATAGGCTGTGCCTTCCGCTAAGAAGGCTTATCTAGGGACCAACCCCCTAGTCTATACACCTACTGTCCTTCCCGTTGCACTCGTCAGCTCGTGCGATACTCTAGACACACATGGGTGGTCGTATCCGGGTCCTCCCCTGGGTAGGCTCGTGTCCGTCCAGGTTCTGGTCCATTAACTTATCTATATGCATGGTAATTATATTTTTAAAGCTCACCTTTTGATTATAATGTCGAAAATGCTGAAACTAAATAAAGGTTAGCGATCCATATAAGGTGTGTGCTGCGACGGAGAAGTAATTGAAGGAAATGAGGTTCTGATGTGAAGTATAGGTAATTCTAAAATAGGTAAATCAATTAATCATTAGCTGCTAACAGTTACTAATAAATGGGTACGATAAATCACTCATCAATGAGTATTGCCACTCCCACTGAAAAATGGGCAAAACCTTAATCATAAATGGATATTCGATTCCTACCGTGTATTTAAAGTAAAGTTAGGATCTTATCAAGCAAGCACACACCTTTTACGATTCTTATCCTACTTACGGTTTCCAGCACATACGACTTTTCCTAGATACAAGCTTCGTCCAGTATACATTGGCTGTCTCCAACCGGCATGATCCTTTCTGTCTGCTTCCTCTTGCCGGTGCAAGTTTAATTCTTCTTTTCTTGTTCGAATTTTCCTTTTCTCCTATTGATCTTCTGGTCGTGTTCCCATTTGTTCTCAGGCAGTTAATATTAGTACATGATAGGAAGAAAGAAAGAAATAGAACAAGTTAAGTGTGAGCCGCATGCATTCCCTAATAAAAAATAACCATAAACGAACGATAACCCAAATCATTGAACTATTCCATAAATGGTTTGGATGATACCCAGAACACGTCGTTAAGCAAATTAACCATACAATTTTTATTAGGGTTGGTTACTTATTTGGGTCATGGTGTTGTCTTCCCTATTTATTTGCCTCTATTCGCTCTCATATCGCAACGTTTAACTCTGGATCAACAATAGAAAAGGGCCCATCAGCATTTGTAAACAAACCGCTCCAAAGCCCCCACTCACAAAGCGAAGGCCACCCAGGCAAACCAACACCATCATCGGATAGGGAAAACTTCCACCTACACGAAGACGGTGTTGGCCCGCGCGAGCAGCCCCCGATCTGTGAGGAACGGGCTCTGGACGGTCTGCCCACAAAAACCGATGGGCCCCCTTCCATTGTTGATCCAGAACTCACCCCCTTCCCTCACACTATTATGGTCGGAAAAGAGAACCCATATTTAGGAATCTATCGCGAACTGCGATGCAGAAGATATTAATAGCAAACTAATCTGGAACTGGTCTAAGACATATGACCCAGTGAGTATTGACACCTCACACTGTTGTGAATGAGCACGGACGCGAGATTTACTAGAGTATTAAATGCAAAACGCAAATTCAAAATAAAACTTGACAAGTCATCGTCAATCCCCTTATTCTTGGGCAGGGTCTGACGATGTGAATCTGATTTTGATCAGTGAACGGGCCCCATATGGTACATTTTCTCACTATGAACATGTCATTTCCAGCCTATCTGAACTATTTAATAAATGGAAACCATAACATGGGCTACGCTTCCCCTAAGCGGGCCCTCCGCATCCTATCTCTGTCTTATCTCAAATGCCAATGGTTTGAATGTATCAATATATACATTGGAAATGACGTTCAATCAAATAAACCCATACCCCACTCACTTGGCCAGGCTTCAGAATCGTCCAGTGGGCAGTGCGCTCTACACTCCAAGTTCCTTCAAATTCACCCCAAATTTGATATTTTACCCCTTTGAGTGTTGATTAATCACAATGAAACATTGTGACAGAGCACGGACTTGAGGTTACTAGAGTATTAAATAATCTAGGTCCTATTTAGGATTATATCTGAAAAATCCAAATTTGGCCAACGCCCACCATAAGGAACAAAATTACCAAATTCTAAGTCAACTCTAACTTTTTTTTATGGAATTGCTGTAATATGTATATAATTACTTGTTTGGGAGGCGGGGTAAGACTGAAACCCAATGGATTGTTATTGTTGTATCGTTAAAAGCTATAGCATCGAACAAGCTAACAATTAGTAACTGTGGAAGTGCATTTAGTTGTATGCAGTTGAGAGCACGCAATAAGCTAACATGTGATAAGCAATAAGTTTGAAATGCGAAGAAGAAAAAGAAGGATAAACAGAAAAACAAAAAGACATGTACAATCATACTCTACGCCCAGGGATGCCGAGAAAGTTTGCAGCCCAAAAAATTCATTTCGCATCATTATTGAGGTTCAAAGGAACCAATCGTTATGACCATTTTTAAAAGTGACAGTTATTCCGAATCACCCAGTAAATAGTTGATAACTTTTTGCACAGAGCTCGAATCGATTTGTGGTTTTCGGTAAAGCTGTTCTGCATAGTTTGCCTAAATATAAGCCTCAGGAATGGCCAATATTGCACCCTCTCCGAATTGTATGAAACTTTTCGTAATTTTTTGTTACGATTCACATTTTTGATAAAATTTGGCCGTTTTAAATCTTATGAACTTTTCAAAATGGCATCCTTGAGATTTTTCAAATAAATGTAACATGGTTGAAATGACGTCTGGGACAAAGTTGTAGAGCAAAATAATGCCAAAAAATGTTTTTAATATATCGCAAAAAAAAAAAAAAAAAAAATTGGAGCACAAATGTGTCAAAATGTCAATTTTTTATATATAAAACTGAAGTTTTTTGGAATGTTCAAAACTATGGACACTTGTAAACTAACAAAATCGTAAAACAAAAACCTTTGGTCAAATTTTTAATATTTTTATTAGTGCACTTTTTGGTGTATTTTTTTACATTAAATTTCAATTAAACAAAGTAACATGAAAAAAAGTGTTAACAGAAAGTTTAAAAAATTAACTAAAAGTTCTTGTTCAACGATTTTTCTCAATTTGTATGTGTCCATAATTTTAAACATTATAAAAGTTACCATGTTTCATTTTTTTATAAATTTTAAAATTCGGGCAAGGACATTTTGAGCTATTTAGGTATTTAAGATTGTTTTTTTGAATTTTTACTTGAAACAATTCTTGTATATTTTTTCTTTGTTTTTCTCTACAACTTTGTCTCAGACGTCATTTCGATCAGAAGTGTCGTTTCTGTGCTACAATTTAAGGAAAAATTTAAAGCAAGCATTTTAAAAATTTACATGATCCAATGTGGCTAAATTTTAGTAAAAATGTGAATTATCGCCCATACAAAACAATTATGCAAAGTTTAATGCAAATTGGTGAAGGTCGAGTCTGATCGATTCGTCATTTGGCGTGGAACTGCTCTTTTGTGACAATTTTTGTGTCTTTACTAACGTCAAAATTCTCCGGTATCCAAATCGCAACCAAATTCATGCATATTTGGCACCTGTCTAGGTCAATACAAATTGGGAGCTATGCCCGAGGGGGGCGTCACATCTATATCGCAATTTAAGATACTCGAAAAAGCTCACACTAGCGAATCAATCTACGAAAAATCATCTTTTCATCATGAAGAATCGTCCTCAATCTCCTTTCTAATTACAGCAAAACAAAATCTTTCATGCATCGTAGATAGAGTCACCTCCCCCCTCGGTTATACCGAGAGTCGAAGAGACTTTTGGCACTAGTAAAGTGAGAAAAGTCGCGTCGTTGTGACGTGACTCTCCATTCGATTTACACAGAGAGTCACGTCACCACGACTCTCGGTTTAATCACCATTGAATGAGTGGAGAACATGAGGTTGTGAAACTTGACCCACCTTAATGACTATATTTAAATATTTGTATTTGGGACTATATTTAAATATTTGTATTAAGACATTGATTTGAGTTTTATTTTTAACACGTTTGGCAACCTCTAGTTGAAGCTCAGTAGACCAATAGGGAAATTTGACTATGGTTCTCCAGTAACTAGTAGACAGTGTTTGGGAGCTTTTAGACCTCCTTCTGCTAGTTGAAACTAGAAC